CAGGACCACCACCACCACCACCACCAAACCACCGCCACCACCACCAATACACTCTTCTTCATCGCATCCATCATCATCGTCAGAAACATCATCACCGTCATCGGCATTATCGTTCTTTTCCCGTTATCACCATGCTCGTCGTACAGTACTAGACATGATTGGCTCCAAGCCTGATAAGACATCATAGAACTCGCACAAGCACCACTTGTGCAAGAACCAAGTCACATCATGTCAGTGATTACGAGCAACACATAGCAAGAACAGCACTACTAGTTTTGCCGATAAGAGCAAACAGTGACAAAACCAAGAGGGAAGTACTTTACGAATCCGAGGAAAAAACAAGACTGCGAACAGACTAGCGGACCTGCTTCATGTAGCCCTTTTGTAGAATGAACTCAATCTGTAGCGCAACTAGCAATGGCGCCTGCTACGGAGTGCATGATCACACCGTGGCCGTTTGCCAGAACTACGAGTCTGATAACTTGGTAACTCCCAGTATGCCAGCTGTCAAAACGCGTCCTCGTTTTCTGGCACTCTCATGGTGCGGCCGAGCCGTGACGCGTGCACTCGACGGAAGCACCAGCCAGAAAGCACCTCCCCCCCAGTCGCTCACAAAGAACCCGTGGAATGTAGGCGTAAGCTGCTCGGTTCCTCTCTTTGGACCGTACCCAGACAGCCCAAAACCCTGTAACTAAGGAGTATACCTGAAACTAAGTCATAAGATTAAGGCCCTTGTAATTCGAGTATATTCCATAATGAAGGGGCTTCAGGTTCCTATATTTCGAGTTAAATTCCATGATTAAGGGGTATTAGGTTCCTACAATTTGAGGTACTGTATATTCCATGATCAAAGAGTTTTGGGTTCCAATAATTTGAGGTATATTCCATAATCCATGGGCATTAGGCTCCGATAATTTGAAGTATATTCCATAATTGAGGGGCATTAAGTTCCTATAATTTGAGATATATTCCATGATTAAGGGGTAGGTTTTGGGATACATTTTTCCATGTTCATAATAAGGAACCCCCAGAACAGTATGGGTAGTTATTTAGGCCGCTCTATACCCCTAAATCCTAAACCCTACACCCTAAATCCTAAACCCTAAACCTTAAACCCTAAACCCTAAACCTTAATCCCGAAAGCGTATATTATTGGGTTCTCCGTGTCCCTCGACTGAGGGCTGCCGAGGCCGAGACCCAGCTGCGAATCAGCAAAGGGGAGGGGCGGACCTGTTCGTGGCACTTAGGGGCTTGGAGTTTAGGGGTATTATAGGGTTTAGGGGCTTGGAGTTTAGGGGTTTAGGGCTTAGGATGGTTAAGGGGTGTAGGGTTTACAGGTTTAGGGTAACGGCACACAGACTCGGCGAGAGTACTGCGCACGGTCTCCTCATCCGCTGTGCGAAGCAGAGCAATGCCACCCAAAGCAAGACGCTGCAAAAAGATAGTACATCGTTCTGCTATTCAAGCTGAAAGCTTGGAGGCAGACATGGTCTGTCGTACTTTGTATACACACGATGTAGCAGGAACTTCGACCCAAAGGCCAACTCAATCGAGCCACGTCATGCGAGTGCTGAGGCTGCACCACTGGTGCCCCTAGTTAAGAACTGCTCATGCCGTGAGCTGCAGCGGGTGATGTGGCCTTCCGCTGCTTCCTCCTCTGCTGGCCTCGGTTTGAAAGCTGTATGTCCCCAAGCCGGTATGTTGCAACATAGTATACATACATACACACACATTCGGACAATGTATATCAATGTACATCGTAAGAAGACATATGTGAACAACAAATTCATAGACAAAACAGGTATGGGTGTTGAATCGGCACAGCGGTGACCAATACCTCCGACTATAAAGGATCATTGCACCCGCCTGGTTGGAGAATGACGAGCCCTCGGACCTACGACTAGCTGTGGCTGTTCCGATGCAGTCCCTGGGCTCGTCCACAGGCATCTGGGCCCTTGACGGCTCCTCTTCCGATGCCGCTGCAGCTGCTTTTTCCTCACGGTAGGCTACGACGGCTGAAATCGATCGGATAGATTGGTAGAGCTTCCTGTGGTCTTTTTTTTATCATTACGCATCACTGCAGCCGAGCATGACCGTGTGGAGAGGCCTCTGCAGCCTGCTGAAAGCCGAGCTGCCACTGCCTCCCAGCTAAGCTGCATACTTCGACAGGGCAAGACCCCATGTATGTGACCGCTGTACCCGAAGCAAAACACCTCAGATGGCGAAGCTTCTGGCGGGCCCATCGGGTGCAGCCTCCAAGTGTCGTCTGCAACCATGCCAAACCTGGGGACGAGCTCACAAGTGATCTGGGTGCCAACAAGGATTTCAATTCCTTCCAAAGCTTTCGTGCTGCCAGTCCCCCACAGTCTGGGAAGGGAGCCTCGCTAAGTTGGTTGCACAACAGAATGTTTCTTGACTCCGTGTGTCTCTCGTTCGTGCCTGATACATGCCTCCAGATACTGGCATTGATGTTGAGTTGAAGGGTTTATAAGGCTTCGGTGCAGGGGCTATTTAGGGCTTAGCGCGTGAGGCATCATGGGTACTTAACACTACGAGTTTCATTGTAATCAGGAAAAATCGCTACGATCCACAGGCAATGACCGGAGGTTGGTAGGAAGGTTATGATGGCGAAGAGTGATGATGCTGACGACGATGCCGGTGATGGTGATGGTGATGATGATGCTGCTGGTGAAGAAGATGATGAAGATGATGATGAAGACGAAGATGACGATGTTGTGGTGGTTATCATGTTGATGATACTGATGTTGTTGTTGATAATGATGACAATGATGTATGCTTGTATATACATATATACACATGTATACATGTTTATATATAGTATAGATACATCTATTAAAAACTACATGAAGACAAACCCTTCCGCTAACGATATTTATGCCGAAGATGCCTGATACCGTAAACTAGGGTTTCTGCCAATGCTCCCCAGCCGTAACCCTCTTGGCAGGACAACATGATTCTCCTGTACAGCCAGCAAAAGAGATGCTTTCGGATGCCACCTACGGTAAAGTAACTTGGAGTTCGCTGCGACGAAGACATCTAGAACAAACCCAACTTGAAACAACACCCATTTAAGGCTCAAGCACAAGGTTGTCCTTGAAGATCCGGGCCATGCTCCTGCGCAACAGGCCACTCAGGGTTTAAAAAGCTTGAGGTTTACGAGAGAGAGCGTCGGAACCGTCCACTCGTATGAAACGAAGGAACCCCGAACCCCCAAAACACCCTGCACAACCTCCACAAATCGCGTCAGGTTTAGGGTGTAGGGCCAGGGTTTAGGGTATGGGCTCTCTAAAACTGTCTTGAATTGAACAGCGTCACCAGACGTATTCGGGCTCCCATGGTAGTTTGCGTTTCGCAGTCCACCCCTAATGCCCCATCATACGAATGCCAACCTGTGACCCCAAGACATAGTTTCGGTGTACTGCCCAGGCAAATCTACCCCTACTGCCAGGAAACGGGTTTGGGATTGTACCCTGAGCCCGAAACCCTGAACTCCGAAACCCTAAAC